TATACACTGAATTCCTAAAAAAGTTGTGTGTTAATGTTTCAACTAATCAACTTGATTGTTTCATTGTTTACACTGACTGACCACTTCACTACACCCTTGTTTCTACACTCATTGTCCATTTTATCAGCTTCACTGACCATATAGGAGCCCTTTGTAGTTCTACAATTACAGACTGTAGTCCATCTGTTTCTCTGCATACTCTATTACCCTGTTCTTCAATGATCAGGACGCCCAGAGGACCACCAAAGAGGATCTAGAGTAACACAGTAAAGTTTTAACCAAAATAATATATAGTTCTATACAAAATCCTATCCTGAATGAAGTTCTAATCAAATGAAAATCCAGAAAAAGGTGTTAATTGGATGGTGGGTCATTCTCAGCAATGCAGTGACATTGATGTGGTGGTGGTGTGTTAGTGTGTGTTGCGCTGGTACAAGTGGATCAGACACAGCAGTGCTGCTGGAGTTTTTGACGCTGTTTTGCTGGCTAACACTGCATGTTGTTAAGAAATTGGATCTTACAGTGAGTCAATTGTGTCAGTATCTATATGAGGATCCCAGTAAAGATTTTAGAGGCCCAATTGCAAAGGGCCTCCTGTGCCATAGGCAACAGAGCAACAGCGCAATTGCAGCTGCCCCCCCACCAAATTCTTTGAGTCAGAGAGAAAGAGAGAAAAAAACGAGAGAGCGACAAAGAGAGAGAGAGCGGTAAACACTAAATGGTAAGTCACTCTCAGGTGTGGATTCAATCAGACTCGGGTGAAAAAGTTGGCGTCTGCTATTGAAAGCAGACTGAGTGAGTCGTACTGACCGATGTGAGGAGAATTCGGGGAGAATTCGGCTGTTTCTGAGTCCGCTGTGCTCTGGGCTGGAGACGTGTGTCACACAGGCACTCTCCTCTACCTCCTCACTGACACCCAGAGATGGCTGGTGTGATGTCTGTGGCTGTTGGCTTTTCACTCCCTTGACAGCTTTTTTGGCTCAAGGACACACACACACACACACACACACACACACACACACACACACACACACACACCGTTCCTGCCTTTGAATAGAGCTGACCCGCGTCCCACCACTGACAACGACTGTCAGCCTTTTTTTTAACCATCTGACAGACAGAAAGTGGTCAGTTTTGGACTCAGTTTTCACTCAGATCTCAATTAGAAACGACACTAAGCTGATCAACTGCACTAAATCTCTTCATTGTTGAAGGGACACTCCATCCAAAATTAAAAATTGTTATTAAAAGGTCCGTATCTTACATTTTAAGTCCACTTATGAAATTTATGTAGGTTTATGTATCAAAATATGTCAGTTCTATTCTACACGACCACCTGCCAGCCATCTTCTCTCTCTTTTCTTTCTTTCTCATTTCTTTCATTTTTCTTTCTCTGTTTTTCCTTCTTTCTTACTTTATTTCTTTTTTCTCTCTTTTCTTTCAACACTTTCTCTTTCATCTCTTTCTCTCTTTGTTTCTTTTTTCTTTCGTTCTTCTTTTTTCTATTCTTTCTTTCTTACTTTTATTTATTTATTCTGTTTCATTTTTCTTTCATTTTTTCTTTTTCGTTGTTTCTTCTCTTTCTTTTTTCTTTCATTTTTCTTTCTCTTTTCTGTCTCTTTCTTTCTTTTGGTTTCCTTTGTCTTTCAATACTTCTTTTCTTGTTTGTTTTTTTCTTCTTTTATCTTTTCTGTCTTACTTTTGTCTTTCTTTTTTCTTTTTTTATTTAAGTATTCAATAATCCATTCATTCTCTTTCTGCCACTTTCTCCTCTTTCTTTCTTCTTCCAGTTTGTATTCTTTTTTTCTTTCTTTCTTTCTTTCTTTCTTTCTATACTAGTAAAACATTTCATTATGGAACTGCGAATCTTCATAATCCAGATTAAAATATTATCAAAATATCTCTTGGTTTTTTGTAATAATCTAATTTAATAAAAATGACAATCAAATCTTGACTAACTTTGACACAACCATGATGACTGAAACACCAACATCAAAGCGTGTGTACCTGTGGAGCTCTGCTCACAGTGATGTAACTGCAGTGAGTTTTGCAGCACCAGCTTTGTTTTACACAGAGTTAAAGGGCCATAAAGAAGACGTCAGCTCTGATATGACCTGACAGAGAGAAGAGAGGGAGAATATCACAGAGAGATTAAGAAAGAGGAGAGAAAGAAAGAGGGAGGGACGGAGAGATAAGAAAAGAGGGACAGAGGAGGAGAGATAGTGAGGGTGGTATGGAGGGAGTGCTATGAAAAGGTAAAGCTCCACCTACCCGATCTTCTCTCTGTTCTGCATGTTCCTCAGGAGAGAGATGAAAGAGTTTATACATCAATCAGAAATCAAAACCTGTCAGCGCACACACACACACACACACACACACACTCACACACACACACACACACACACACATGCCTGAATAGAGCTGTCAGCAAATAAAATTAGTCACATCAATAAAGACAAAGCACTCTCCTGCACCCCCACTCACACACATCAATAGAGCTATCTGTGTCTACACTACACTGTTAGAAATAAAGGTTCTGTAAAGGTACATTTTCGTTCATCAAGGCACTAACAATGTAAATGTTCCCTCAAAGGAACAACAGTGGTTTTATGGTCTAGTTGTGAAACTTAAATAAGTTTTTCCAGGTGAAAAGTTTGTATTTGTACCTTTTCATAACTGAATGTTTTAAAACAGAACAGTAAAATAAAAGTCCTGGAGACAAGACGGGGTGTGTGGAGTCAGTACAGCTTAGAACATATCATTTCAGTGGATTATGGTACAATTATGTTCCCTGACTAAAGGTACTGAGATGTACCCCTGAGTGGACCACCCCAGTAACAAGAGGGGCACTGCCCCAGTGACAGTTTCATACTTGAAAGTGTATCATAAAAGCAGCCGTTAAGTAAAAGTTATTGATGTTTATGAATAAATTAGACAAATCACTTATATAAGGAAGGAGAAAGTCAAAGGAAAATAAGCAGAAGAACAGGAGCTTTCAAGAAAACAGAGTTTAAAAACTGATTAAAAGCTACCGGGAAAATGACACTCCTAACAACCACCTGGAAGACCTGGTAGACACCAAAACTGCCCCCATCAGATAAACAGCACTTACAGCTTTCATCTCTGAGAGAGAGGAGAAAATCAAGCTGCTTCAGATCTGAAAACATCCACAGGTGTTTCTGTCCATCCTTCCACTGTGAGAAGACGACTCAGCGCTGTGGGTCTGAAAGGATGTGTAGCTGTTCAAGAAGAACCTCACTGAGAAAAGGAGAAGGACACATCAAACAAAGAAGCTGAACAATGGACTGACCACCCCAGAGTCCAGACCTCACCATCACTGGATGTGTTTGGGATCACTTGGATAAAAATGCAACCAACTTCTAAGACTGAACTTTAGAGGTGTTGCTGTAGATTTCTTTCAACAACTGAAAGCTATTGACTATCTTGGTACTCATCATCATGTCACCCTGTACTATACACCCTATATACCTCACTAGAGACTGTTCCACACATACTGTATAGCCAGTGAATATCTAGAACCAGTTTTAGTGTAATTTAGCTAGGCTGTCTTGGTACTTCAAGTTACCCAAACTAGAACCTGTTGAACATTTCAGAGCAATTTAGTCAGACTATCTTGGCACTTAGCATCATGTCACCCAACATAATTACCCAAGAACTGTAGAGACTCATGTACACATATAATGAGTGAATATCTACACCAATTGGACATTTCACTGGAACTTAGCTGACAATCTTGGTACTTACCAAGTTACCCAAAATAATTACCTAGTACTTTAAAGACTGTACCACCCATACTGTACACCCATTGAATATCTAGAACCAGTTGGACATTTTAGTGTAATTAAGCTAGGCTGTCTTGGTACTTAACTTGAAGTTACCCAAAATAATTACCTAGTACTTTCGAGACTCTTCAACACATATTGTACATCCAGTGAATATCTAGAACCGATTGGACATTCCATTGTAATTTAGCTAGGCTGTTATGTTACCTCTAATTATGTCACTGAAAATGTTAACCTAGTATTGTAGATACAGCTCCACACATACTGTATATCCAGTGAATATCCAGAACCAGTTGGACATTTCAATGCAATTTAGCTTGACTATCTTGGTACTTACCATCATGTCACCTAGAATAATTACCTAGTACTTTGACACTGTTCCGCACATACTGAACATTCAGTGAATATCTAGAACCAGTTGAACATTTCAGTGTAATTTAGCTTAACCATCTTGGTACTTACCATCATGTTACCCAAAATAATTACCTAGTATTTTAGAGACTCTTCAACACATATTGTACATCCAGTGAATATCTAGAACCGATTGGACATTCCATTGTAATTTAGCTAGGCTGTTATGTTACTTCCCATTAAGTCGCCGAAAATGATTACCTAGTATTGTAGAGACTGTTCCACACATACTGTACATTCCATGAATATCTAGAACCATTCGGACATTTCAGTGTAATTTAGCTTGACCAGCTTGGCACTTACCATCATGTCACCTAGAATAATTAGCTAGTTTATTGAAGTTTGTTCCTCACACTTACCTGGTGGATGGTGATGTAATAATAATAATAATAAATCGTGCTTAATGTGACCATAACTAACAGGGTAAAAACATTTAGATTTCAGGACTGTTGCCAAACTTTAAAATTGTTGCCAAACTTTTGATGGGCAGTGTACAACAAAAAGGAGTCCCTTTCTGTAGATGCAAATGAAAAGTACGTAGATCTACAGGCAGAACTTCTGCTTGTCTTTCTCCCCAACAAACAGCCTAAAATGATCCAGCACCCAAAAATAAACCATTTCAATTTAAGCTGCCAAGAAAAATAAGCTGTTCGAAACAAACTGTAAATGACATCAGAGATGAAAGCCGAGATGAGCCAAGCGCATTTAATCAGCACTCACACCCAGCACGCATTCAGAGGTTTTATTCGACTTTAGGCTTTCTTTTTTAAAAAAAGAGTAAATCGTACAAAAAATAAGGGAACTAAAAGTACGTATTGCAGGCATCGGCGAGTGTTGGTGTCGGGCGTCTCCACAAACAACGATAAAGACGTCAAGGACCTAAAAGTCCGCCTCATTCTCCAACGCCCGCAGTGTCTTTGACCAGAGCCACTGAAAGGAAAAGGCCCAGAGTTGCATATATTTTTTTAATGAATTAAATGACTTTGCAGACATAATATTTATGAGTCCAGGCAAAACGGCACGTTGTTAAAAAACACAAAGGCAGTTAGTTCACTTGTGTAGATGAAATTTGACTTTCTGGTTCATGTGGTCAGAGTGGTCGGTCCCCCTAAAGCCGCTCGATGTCCCTGTATTTCTTGCGTAAGATGGACACCTGATCCTTAAACAGGACGGGGTCCAGACGGAGCTGAGAGTGAAGCAGTGGCATAAACCCGAACCAGCTGGTGAAAGAGTTCATGCAGGACTGCCTCTGAGCAAAGTGGTCCGGGTCTGCCCACCGGGACGACTTAGAACCCTAAGAGAGAGAGGGAAAGAGAGAGAGAGAGAGAGAGAGAGAGAGCGAGAGAGAGAGAGGGAAAGAGAGAGAGAGAAAGAGAGAGAGAGTGTAAAAGAAGCTATAAGGATAGGTGTTGTTTATGGAGCCCCTGAATGGATGTGGTGTATTTTTTTTTTAGGTAAAAATCTGGTATGCACCCAATACTATGTGGTGAGCCCCTAATACTATCAGGTGAACACCCAATACTATGTGGTGAGCACCTGATACTATCAAGTGAGCATCTGGTACTAATTTAAGTCACTTTATTTGTTCTTGTGCCACCTACTGTGACTCTAAAAAGTCATAAATGCCTTTTTCCATGACGGAATGACAGAGGATAACAAGCACACAAACTTTTTTTTCTATTAGTATCTGGAGCTCACCTGATAGTATTGGGTGCTCACCACATAGTATCGGGTGCTCACCTGATAGTATCTGGTGCTCATCACAAAGTATCTGGTGTCCACCACATAGTATTTGATGCTCACCATATAATGTCTGGTGCTCACCTGATAGTATTGGATTCTCACCATATAGTATCTAGTGCTCATCACATAGTATCTTGTGCTCACCTGATAGTATCGGATGCTCACCACATAGTATTGGATGCTCACCATGTAGTATCTGGCGCTTACCTGATAGTATTGGATACTCATCACATAGTATCAGGTGCTCACCAGAGTATCTGGTGCTCACCACAGAGTATCGGGTGCTTACCACTTAGTGTCTGGTGCTCACTTGATAGTATTGAGCACTCACCTGGTTGTATTTGGTGCGCACCAGATTTTTAGCTAAAAAAATATATATATATGTCTCCTCAGGGGCTCTGTAATTATTAGATAATGTACACTTTAAAAAAATTAATAAATGTCTATTTGAGGAGCTTTTGAGATCCCGATTGATAAAAAACACTGCATTTACAAGTTTAGACGACGTCTTTAACCTAACTAACTCTAATTGCTGGACCATGTTTCTGAAACTGAGGTCACAGAAGCTCATATTTACAGACACTTTGGAGAAATGCCTACAGTGCACTACACCTGTAAAGTACAATTGCGGGGAAACACTGTAAGCCTTGATGTTAGGACCTTAGGGGGCACAAACATGATATGTTAGCTTAGCATTACCTTAGCTTAGTATGTTACATAAGTAAAGTGTGCTATTTAAGCAATAAGCCACAAGAGGCCATGTGTTACTGCAATTTTATCACAGGAACTGCTAAAGGACAAGAATGTTCAGTCACCTGTCATTGTACGTTGCGGTAATTTCATCAACTTTTTAACTTTTTTTGTCATATAATAATGACCGTATCATAACATGGCACTGTTTAGTGCACAAACCCTCACTTTATAAATACATTTGGTCACAAAATTACCATCAGGAGTCTTGTTTAGCGTTAAGGTAATGGCACCCCTCTTCCCACACTGGGGCTGAATCTCAAATGGCTCCCTGTTCCCTACATAGTGCACTATGTAGGAATTTAAATACTGGCTCCTGCACCACAACAAAGCAGAATATAGATAAAACAGTTATTTGGGATTCAGCCACATCCATACTCCACAAATAGTGCACTACTTGGCTGCAGAAGCAAGAACTTCAAAACTTACATAGCACACTATTTAGGGAGTATTTGGGATTCAGCCTGGGTTTGAGTATAATCAAGAAGCAGAAGAACTGGCTGAAGGAAGACGTCCTTTCCAATGAGTATAGACAGTATAGAAGTCACCTTCTTCCAAAATGACTAACCCTCTGGTCATTCCCAAACCATTTCAAAGAATCAAGTATCCCTACAGAACTCACAATTAGGATTTAATACCTGTTTAGCATGAAATCTTCATAGTGGTGTCCAGTATGCCCAATGACCAGGCCTGGATCATTAAGTTATCACGTCACAAATATTTGGTGTGTCCCGACACGGCTACCTTCTTTGGGTGGTCAGCAGAGGTGTGGACTCGAGTCATATGACTTGGACTCGAGTCTCACTTGAGTCACGAATGTGATGACTGGGGACTTGACTCAAGAAAATCAAGAAATTGAGATTCATTTCCTGCCGTAATTCTGACATACATCACCGTTGTCAGATGTCTGTTACTGTGCTTATGATTGGCTTATTATATTTCGGAAGATGTGTGAAGTGTTTAGATTTCAAGTTTGCCTCCATAAACTGGAAGCGAAGCATCAACAGCATCAATGCGCCCTCGATTAGCACTTAAACTCTTACTGGAGAAACTCACCAGGCAAATTGACCATTTTCCTCATGATAGCAAAACAAAAGAGACACAGCTCTCTCTCTTTGACTGATTTTAACTGCTTCTGCAGGTAAAACAAGCGCAACATTCACCACGAGGCTGAAGTTGACTTTTTATTTGCCAACTTCACATTGGAATTTGTTGTTCCACCTTAAATGGTGCAGCATTGAGGCGCTGAAACGTAACTGCTGTGCCATGTTCAGCTCAAATTGATTTTGGTTTCTGTCACCTAAAAATTAAAAAATGAATATACAGCCATACACTGCTAACATGCTGTCACTAAAAGTGTGTGTAATAGTGTTATGGCCTTAAATTAGCTGAAGAATACATACTGACATGTTCAGGACTTGAAGATTAGGACTACTGACTTGGGACTCGACTTAAGATTCGCTTTCACTGACTCGGGATTTGAATCGAGACTCGACTATCTTGACTTGGGACTTGACTCAAGACTTGAGTGTCAAGATCTGAGACTTACTTGTTATTTGCAACTGAGTGACTTGTTCCCACCTCTGGTGGTCAATGACTTTTTTGGCATCACAGCAGGTAACATGAGGGCTATGCAGCACCATGATGGCAGCATACTAACTGCAGTGTTGGGTATGTTTTTTTTCCAAGCGAGACAAAACAATAGCCAGATTAATGAAAACCATAGTAATGAAAGTACAGGTTAGCGTTAGCCCAACAACCAATGCGACATTTCCCTACATAGCGTGCGTCCACTCTTGAGAATGAAGACAATATGAATTGCAATCAGACAGCTGAAACGTACATAACAATGTAAAAGAGCAGCAAACATAAAAACCCAAACTGTCAAGGATAGAAAAGGATAATGCTAAAAGTAATGGAGAAATAATGGAAATAATGGAGTGCTGCATGGACAGAAGGGTGCAGGGACAGAGGGATGGAGGGAGGTATGGAGTGAGCGATTGCTGGAAGAGTGGAGAAGGAATCTGCTGAAGCCCTGCTGGTGCTGCTCGAGCTCCTTCACTATTGAGACATTTATCAAAAGGCTGATAGTGCTGAGTAAGAGAGCAGCCACGGAGCCACGCGCTCTGCCTGGGGGCGATCTATCCATCAGGCCTGCCAGTCCACTTCTGACCGCAGCATGGGAGTCACCTGGGACACACACTCATCTATCTAAACACACACACACACACACACAGGAGCGCACAGACCTGTTGCATCATCGTCTCCTTGTACTGTTTCTTCTGCGTGACTTTGATTGGCGGGAGCTTGGTTACCGCAGAGACGAGGAAGTTCATTAGGATGTCCTCACAGTTGGCCAGCTGGTCCACTATGGAGAGCAGCCGAGTAGGTAGATAGTGAGTGTACAGATAATTATAGTACCTGAGAGAGAGAGAGAGAGAGAGAGAGAGAGAGAGAGAGAGAGAGAGAGAGAGAGAGAGAGAGAGAGAGAGAGAGAGAGCGAGACAGAAAAGAGTGAGCAAGAGAAAGAAAAAAAAATTAAAGAGGGAATTTGACAGAAAGAGAGAGAAAAAAAAGAAAGAAAGAAAGAAAGAAAGAAAGAAAGAAAGAAAGAAAGAAGGAAAGAAAGACAGAGGTAAAGAGAGAGAGAGAAAAAAAGGGAGTAAGAAAGAAAGAGATAGAAAGACAAACAAATGGAGGAAAAAGAGACAGAGAGTGAGCGAGAAAGAAAGAAAGAAAGAAAGAAAGAAAAAGAGGGAATAAGACAGAAAGAGAGAATGAAAAAAAGAAAGAAAGATAGAGAGAGAGAGAGGGACAGAGAGAAATAGAACACCACACAGAGAAAGAGTAGAATACAGACAGACAGATAGATAGAGAGAGAGAGAATGAGAGACAAAGAGGGAATAGAGAGAGGAGAAGGAAGGAGAGAGAGAAATACAGGGAGGGAGATAAAGAGAGTGGCACAGAGAGAAGGCAAGAGAAAAAAGGGAGAGAGAAAAAGAGAGGGACAGAAACAGTAAAAGAGAAAGAGTGAGAGAGATTGAGAGAGAGAGAAAAGGAGAGAGATATTGAGAAAAAGTGTAAAAGAAAGAGTGAAGGAGAAGGAGAAAGAGATTGAAAGAAAGAGAGAGAAGGAGAGAGACAAATAAAGACAAAGAGAGAGAAAGTAAAGGAAAAATAGAATTCCTAAATTAGTAACAATCAGTGATCATCGATAATAATTTAATGATTTGCCTCAACAGTTGTCTCTCTCTCTCTCTCTCTCTCTCTCTCTCTTCTTCTTTCTTGACAGAAGACCCCCCCCACCCACACCCACAGTTGACAGGTGGTCTATCTGGTGTGTGTGGCTGGTTTTCCGCTGGGCTCCTCAGGCCTGTGGTCCACGCTGCAGTCTGTGCTGTGTGAGGTGTGTCAGTTTGAAGGCATGACTGCATGATGTGTGTGTGTGTGTGTGTGTGTGTGTGTGTGTGTGTGTGTATGTGCGCTTCACATTAAAATATAATCCTCGGTTCCATGAAACTTGGGACAGTACGTGAACAGAAAGCAGCGATGTGTAATTCCACTTTGACCCGTATTTAAACCAAAACAGAGCAAAGAAATGATGTTTAATTATTTACCATACCAGTTTTTTAAAAGCTCATTCTAAAATTGATGCCTGCAGCATATTCCAGAAAAAGTGGGGGCGACGTGAGACTAGGAATGTTATTTAAAAAGCATCTTAAACAGGTGAGGCTATCTTTGCCATTATTGTTACCAGTATAAAGTTCAGCAGACCAAGACATTTTGGATGATTCTATGCTTCCAACTTTGTGGGAACAGTTTGGGAACAGCCTTTTCTGTTCCAGCATGACTGAGCCCCAGTGCACAAAGCAAGGTCCATAAAGTCCTGGCTGGGTGAGTTTGGTGAGGAAGAACTTGACTGGCCTGCACAGAGCCCTGACCTCAACCCCATCAAACACCTTTGGGATGAACTAGAACAGAGATTGAGAGCCAGGCCCTCTCGTCCCACATCAGTGTCTGACCTCACAAATGCTCTTCTGGATGAACGGAGAAAAATTCCCACAGACACCCTGCAAAGTCTGTAGAAAGATTCCCAGAAGAGTGGAAGCTGTTATAGCTGCAAGGGGGGGCAACTCCATATTAATGCCTATGGAATGTCATAAGAGCTTCTGTACTTGTAATGTGTAGCTGTCCCAATACTTTTGTCCATATAATGTATGTACATGTGCTGTTTTTCAGAGCTTCACAAAAAGAATTAATTCAAAAAATTCTTCACCTCTGGCGTGGGCCAGTGCCATACCTGTGGTAAAAGGCGGCCCCTGTCAGCACCATTGAGTACTCGTTGGTCCATTTTGAGGTGTAGCCCCACCTCCCCTTCCCTCCATCCCAGTAGTGACTACGTGCAGGATAGCCCACGATCCGCTCCGGAAAACTGTGCCACACGATGAAAGCAAAATCAACCTGCACATACAGAGAAAACAAAACAAAGTGATTTGGTCAGTGCAGTATGTCAAATTATACATTCACCATTCACTTCATCAGAAAACCCTTCCTCATTATAAGCTCCGCCCACCTTGTAGGTCCAGTTTATAGGTGTACAAATACACAATGTAGCCCATCTGTTGCTGCATAGTTACATGAACCCCCCTCTATTGATTCAGTGGTGAATTTCTGGCCACGGGATCACTTTTGACCAGATATTCAGCAGGTGGACCATTCTCAGGTTAACCATGGACCACCACCCAAAAAATTTCCAGCCAAGAGCAGCTCTGTGGTCCTAAACTGAGCATTGGTGAAGAGCTAGAAGATGGCTATCACATGTCAACAGATGGTCCTCAGCAGGGGTGCCCAGTCCTGCTCTTGGAGATCTACCACCCGGCTGAGTTCGGCTCCAACCTTAATCTAGCACATCTGATCCAGTCAATGAAGGTCTTCGGGGCATTAGAGCCAGGTTGGATCTGAATTCTTCAGGGTGGTAGATCTCCAGGACCCTGGTTTACAGACTCTAAGGGTGTTCCTCCATTGCACAAAGCACCAGAAAACCTGAACTGTATTTTTTCTGTTGGTCCCGTAGCAAAAGTTCTGGTTTTATGGAATTGATACAAGTTTAAAATTAGTAATAACAGGACCTAATAGGACTCAAGGAAGATCTGCTCTGTCTTTGATAACACTTTCATCTGAGGTTAATGAAAATAAAAAGCTAAAGATGAAGTCAACAAGCACTATTACCAACAAGCATAGAATGGCATAAAATGACCAAAAAAGAAAATTAAATTGGTAGTCAAGGTTATTGCAATGATATCCAAGTGTCTCTCTACACTCAAAAAATAAACCAATGGGGTTGTTTGACTTAACTGAAAATATGTCGACTTCAAATAAATGAGGTTTTTTGAAATAAATGAACTCTTTAAGTAACTGGTTTACCTAAAACGGACAAAAATGAATGAAAGTCCATTTCAGTTATTGAAAACTGTTTACACTGATAAAAAGACAATCTCATTCCAATGAAACCCAAAAAAATTGCACTGAAATGTTTCAACCATTGAACTATATATACTGACTCTACTGAATTTGATCAAATGGAAATGTGTTGCATAACTGGATTAAGTGTGCAAAACAAACTTAATTTATTTTTTAGTCTAACAGATAGAAAATGAGCTAGAACTAGAACTGTAAGTTCTGTCGGTTCCCACTTGGGTCAGTTTTTGAATGTTCAGTTGAAAAATGTTCATGAGTCATTTAGTGGCCAATTGGCATTTATGATGTAATTAGAATATCTATTTACCTGTTGTATCAGTTCTAACGACGTGCACATACATGATACTATGCAGGTTCTGTGTGGAGAACATACTTTTTTATCACCCCTTCAAAATAAAGTACCCTCAGACAGAAAAGCTAGAAATGCCAGGTCTTTCCTGACTCTGGATATTCAGAGGAAAAAAAAAAAACAGAAGAAAAACTCTTTCACATTCATCACGAGACTGATTAAAGGTTCTGTTTTCCGGAACGCTGCGGAGGAAAGCCTCCTTTGCTCTGTCAGCGCCGGCCTGCGCGCGGATTGAAAAATGAGGCGGCAGAATCGGAGGGAAAGGCTGGAAATGTCGCTCTTAATGTTACATTAAACCCGTGGCGGTGTCGGACGCCACCTCGCAGCGAGATTTACGATGGCATGCAAATAAAGCGGGACCCTCTGGAATCACACGCTCGTCAGATCCCGAGCGGAGCGTGGGGTCGCGTTGAGCACTCGGCCATTCGTTTCATTCATAATGTGTCTGCTTTAATTACAGCTTTGAGAGAGGGAAGAAAAACGAATGACAGACTGAGGGAAGGACGACCCAGCCAAGGACGGCCTCTCTGAGGGCTGCATCGATCATATAGGTGGGCTTCTGTCTTAAAGCCTGTCTCAGGGCCTGAGGTGTGTCATGCATGTGCTCTGCAGAGTGAAAAGGCGTGTTTAAGGTTGCGTATCAGGGTTGAGTGAGCTTCTTCAAAGAGTTCGCTTAGACATGGAGCGTGGGATACATTTCTAAAGGTGGGGCTGGTCATTATTACCCCCTGCAACAGACCACCACCCACCAACAGTTAAAGGACAACAATGTAGGGTTAATTTGCTCTCAGAATCCAATAGTAGTGTGTTTCTGTTTGGAGACAGAGTATCCTGACTGGTAAACCACTTTCCAAGAGTAGCCATCTGAGGGAGGACCTCACTCAGTTGAACTACACATTTTTTCTTCAATAAAATTGATAGAAAAGATTTTTATGGAAATGAGCATGATTTACAGAACTGAAAGCAGACTGAATGCTCATCTTTGTAGGTCAGCAAGAATGTCAACATTTATGAAAAGTGTTTAAATGTCACTTTTTTTTTATTTTTCCCCAATTTTCTCCCCAATTTAGTTGTTTCAAATTCCATAAACTCCCACAATTACACAATACCGCCGGTGCTAGGAGGGCAAGGCTAGCATAGGCTTCCTTCAAGACCTGCGAAGCATCACCACATCTTTTTGAACTGCTGCTCACGCAATGTCAAACAGCCGAACGTGCTTGAAGGAAAGCACCAACCGCCAGATCTGTTACGTCACCTAACAGACCCCCACGCTGACTAGCATCACGCTGATTGATGGGGGAGAAGGGGGGGCCATCCTGCCGACCCAGAGAGAGTGGCCAATTGTGCCCTCTTGGACAGCCACAGAAGGGGTTGAACTTGTGATGTCTTGATGATAGGGCCAATGCTTAGATGGTGGCGCCACTTGGGAGCTCCTGAATGCCATTTGTACTGTCCATTTTTTCTTGGCACGGCCGTCTTTATGGAGAGATGCGAATTGTTTTTACAGTGGGGGGTTCTCACCCTTCCCCTTTCACTCCTCATTGCTCGCTAGCAGCTCAACATTTCTTACACAGAGAGCCAACATTACTCTAGTTAATCTGACAACAAAGGTACTGTGAAAAATGTTTTATTTGATCATATTCATTTAAAACATGCAATATTTTCAGGCTTAACTTAATGTGTAAGGCCTTCAGGAGCTGGACTAACCAATTGGAGAACTCTTTTGGCTAAGTTGATCTCTTGGCTGAGATACTACAGGATCCAGATTGGATCATTTTCTAGATTTTAATTTTGATTGCAGCCAAAACATAGCAATGAAATAAGGGTACTAATGCAATACTTGCAGAAGTTAATTATAACCAAGATAATGGTTTTATTAAATAAAAAGTAACTACAATTACAGGCATGTTATTTGTTTACAGAAATGATCAGGCCTTCTTTGAAGGCCTAGAAAGCACTGAGGGTTCCTCATTGGACTTTATACAGTGATATGGCAGTGAAGGTTTTGGCACATTAAATAGCAACTTGGAAGAATGCAACATTTGTTTTCTAAAAAACATATTGAGGTAGACTGTTTCAGTGTAATAGGTCCAAAAGAGATGCTAGGAGTGGACATTACCCCACACCAGACTGCACTGGATTCTTGCCTTCCAAGTCTAGAATTGGACACCTGCACTAGAAAACCTTCCCTTGTAGCTCCACTTCAGTGGTGTATATACTGTAGCGCACCTTTTGGTGCACAATCAGTGTTAGCTGTGTTAGCTCTTCATCAGCGGTCACTTGCTGGATGTTTTGTGGTGGTGGGTCACTCTCAACTTAACAGTGCTGAAAATGATCAACACCCAATATATGGTCAACAGTGGTCAGAAACTGATCAATCATGAATGGGGTAGAGGGGGGCTGGAAAGAGATGGACTATAGTCTGTACCTGTACACCTACATAGTGGACCTAGAAGGTCGTAAAGTGGACAGAGAGTAGAGGTGGAAGACGGTTTTCTAATAAAGAAGCAAAGTATGAAACATAAACCCACATCACACATCATAATGAATGTTTTCCACTGATCCCCCCAATGCTCTGTGCTGGGAGCAGGAGGGGGGCAGTGGGATTTTCTTTGGGCTTAAGCATGCACATACTTTTGGTGTAATGATCCCTACCACTCATGAAAATTTAAACCCGGCATTACATTTCCCATTTTAATAAGCTAATTAATGAGTCGAAACAATGTAATTATCAATTCTGAGGAGTTCATGGTTCCGTGCCGCACCCAGAATCTTGACAAAAAAAGAAACCCTTATTAAAAACCCGGCAGTCATTTTTCAACACTTTTCAATTATAACGCTCTGGCTGTATAAAGGGCAATCACTGCGACAGATTTTTAAACAGACGGAAGCTTTGTTCCAGATGTGACGGGATTTTCCTAAAGCCGCCGATGCCGTAGCGACCAGGGCCGGATAAAACTTCGGAGGCACGGGTTCTGTAATCTCGGCTGTCTATAAAAGTCAAGTGGATCTGGAGGTGCAGAGCGACTGGGTGCGGTTAATAAAAGATCAGCGGGATGAATTATGAATGGCAGGCTTCAAACACGCACTGGGCCTCTCAGTGCTTAATGAATTTGAGCCGAAGGAGCTCGAAGCTTCTGGGAGGCGATTTGAGCAAGAAGAGCCGATTGGATGATGGATTTATAGGCATGCTGTCTTCATTAGCTTCTCCTTCTCATTAGGGGTCTGCTGTGTTTGGGCTGTTCAAATACATATATTTTTGATCAGGGGTGTCTTAAGAAGCTCTCAATAACCCAGCGGTTGGTTCAGATTGAGGGGGAACTCTGGCCAAAATGATTTCGTCATCCCTGTGATGTCTAAATCAGTGGTTCTCAAACTGGCCCTCTGAGATGGTCGGCATTTTTGCTTGATCCCAACTCTCGATACATAGGGACGCTTTTGATAGAGACGAGATCTGGATTAGTCTGAGAGACATTAGTGGTTTATCTGTTAAAGGAATCATATAAATGTAATGAGATGATTATCTAATTACCAAGTAAAATTCTGGATTTCCACAACATAATGTTCTGGTTGCCAGATAGTACCCTGGTAAACCAACAATAAAACATACCTAATAACACATAAACTAGCCCCA